CTTACCTTTCAGAACATTCAGAGAAACTTCAGTGTATGTATTAGGCCACCAGTTGACATCTACCACACACCAGTATGTCCCAGTATCCGTTAGCTGTAACCCAGTGATGTTCACGGTGAAGAATCCCACTGCAGGGTCGTCATACAGTGAAAATCTCCCCTCTGTCACCCACTCATTATTTTTCTCAGTTTTAATGAGATCCTCACATGACATGCGGCCACCTTTACACAGGTATTTACTGTTGTCCTTATATTTTTGTGAGTAGTTACACCTGATGCTGACTCCACCTCCCTCATATCCTGTCACCTCAGTGGAGTTTGCATCACGCCAAGCTGTCAATCAAAGGAGAGGAGTTTAGTATTTAATACAAACTGGAATAAAGCGGCTTTCAGAGGCAGCACAGCGGTGCAGAGCGTCGCTTTGTTCACACAGAGGGTCACACACTCAGCACTCACCTCGCAGGAGGCAGACGACGGCAAGCAGGTACCTCATGCTGATCTGCGGCCCCCAGTTACCCCCCGTCCCGCGGTAAATGTGTCTCACTCTCTGCCTCTGTCTTACTTCCTTCTGATTAATTACTCTCAGCCGCTTCTCACAGCACCTCTCCTATTGATGGTCTGCAGATGACGTCTGACAAACTGCAGCCTTATCCTCTTCCTTCTTCTCTCTCTGTTCCCTGCCCTCCTCGCTCTGATTCACACGTCCCAATGCTGGGCTTATTGATACAGTGACACCTAGTGGCTGCACTGAGAATTGCCGTACAAGAGAGAAGCTGATCTCTGCGCGTGCAGATAGATCAGAAAGGGACCCTATGAGGATCAAATTCCCACACTGCTTAATTCTTTCTTTATTCTCATCCATGCTTTTCTTACCTGTGAAGGCTCTCCATTCCGACCGTTTTGTAAGTTTTTCAGAAGCTACGTCAGCCCACAAGCTGATCTGAGCAATTTTGAAACATCTCTAGGTAATCACATTAAATCACATTGTGATCGCATCTAAGCACCCTGAAGGCAAACTAAATTGAAATAATATTGGGACAGATTTATTTCAGTTTAATTTGAAGTTAAAGTAGCATTTGTCAGAAACACACTCAGCAGACTGTCACTTTCAGATATGCGACAGTTGTCATTTTTTTCGACAGGCACAGAAAGGTCGCAGAAATGCACTGGGATGTGGAGAGCAAACTATGGAGAACTAAACCTGAAATATATAAATGCACAAAAATATCATGAACCATAAAAAAAGCGTAGCGCCGGTGCGATATATCCCGGCATGCCTCGCGAGCGCTCGTGTATGTTGCCCTATGTCTGTGTGTTGTACATAGCACCTGTATTATTGTTGTTGTTGTTATGGTTATAGTTGCTTTCCTGATCGTGGCATGTACGTTTGTCTGTGTCTTGGGTGTTCCCTGTCCGATCCTCGTGTGTTATTAACTCTTCCACCGTGTGTTCACTTTAGGGCTTTGATATACTTCATGCGAGGCGACGCGTCTGTAACCCAAGTAGTGAACTGACTATACTTTCAGGCGAGGTTTTTGTCTTATTGTAAGATTAAAGGTCATGTCCACCAGGGGGCAGTGCGAGAACACCATCTTGGTCAGCTCCTTCGTTTTGGGGTCTTACTTGTTTTGTATAAGGCTGAGACGTGAAATAATGTATATTTGCTGTCTCTACAGCAACCAGGTTGCTAATTTTTATACTGCTATAGCATTCTCTGTATTCTAACCACTGCTCCACATGGTACTTCGGTCTGGTCCATGTCACTTTACTGCCCCATGTGTAATGTTGCACTGTATGTTGTTAGATGTCTCATAGTAGTTAGTATTTTGTAATTAGGCTGCAAAATACTGTAATACTGTAAAATATAAATTTCTGCAATTAGTATTGTAGTATTTATAAAGAAAGAAACAGTTTTAATAAATCAATATCCCACAAACGCGTCTATTTTTGAGTGATCGAAACAGCAAGGATGAAATGATTAGGAATGGCTTGAAGAGTGCTTGCAGAACTCGTACGGTAAACTTTAATGCTAAACACATACTACATAATCCAGAAAAGAAGTGGGCATTAAAACTGCACAGCTTGCTTATTTTTGTTTCCTATAACAATATAAATGTTCAAGCGAAACATGAATCCCACGCTCTTGATGAATATTTTAACTAAGACTTATAAATTCCCAGTGTCCTGGGTATGACGTTAAACTGCGTCCCGCAGTGCGAGCGGTCCGCCAACTTGCAGCGAGAAAATTTTGGGGGTTAGTGGTGCGGTTGGCACTCTAGCCACCATGAAACAACTTACAACAGCTTGAAATAAACAGACATGACACCCTCCTGCTCTGCAGAGGAGTAGCTCTACTGCAGCTGCCCACAGGAAGGCTGCACGCATCATGAAGGGGATGGGGGGAAGCCTTCGGGAGCCCCATCCCCGGACGAGTCGAAACCATTGGAGAGCTAATAGGGTCAGGCCTGTTGGGGATCAGGGCTGGTGTGGTGCTGAGGCATCACCCGCTGCATGGTGGCATTTGGGTCCAAGTTTGAGGCGACCCAAAGGGGTCTCTCCTGTGTAGGAATGGTGCATGGTGGCATTCGGGTCCAAGTTTGAGGCGACCCAAAGGGGTAGTCTCATGGAACATCTTGTCTCTCCTGTGTAGGAATTATTAGCTCAGGACTGTTGTATCCATATTTTCAAGGAAACATGGCTACACTCGAACATCACGGACTCGGACATCTAGCTAGACAGGCTAGCATGCTACTAAGCCAACAGATGGGCCTCTTTGTCGGGTAAAAGACGTGGAGGTGGGTTGTGCGTTTACGTAAACAGAGCCTAGTGTGTGAACTCTGCTGTAGTAATTTGCCACTGTTCACCACAGTTACAGTTTCTTGATGACAATAAAGTTTACTTCGACATTGACATTGAATAATACAAGCATAATAAATGTGAATAATTTGAAATAATAGTAAAGATGTTTGTGTTACATTGGCAGATTTGTTTCAGTTACACTTGATTCCCTGTAGTTACCACACACAGTTACCTCTATGCTACTGAAAAAAGAAGAATATCCACAGTGTCCTGATAAGAGTCAGAAACACCTGAAACTACAGCAGGACGCTGAGTAAAGTCCAGCCTTTCAGTGTTTTCATATAAGGACTGGATTTCGTATGAGTCACAGCATCCGTGTTTGTCTGTTTATTCAATACTAATGACATGTATTCCTTATGGACACCTTTCCTGTGTGTCTCTG